TGCATATCAACAGTTGCATTACTGTCAAACCTTCAGCCTTCTTTCCCCTTCCAAAATGAGAAAATGAGAAGATGAGGATTCCCAACCTTGCACTAACCCTGCAAAAGTTGTCGTCAGCCGCATCAGAGTGTTGAATTCTGCGAACTTTTGCAATCCTACCCATATACCGACGAATCACGGATTACGAGGTGTGTTTTGGTTGATAGATCGGTCCCAGGCCGATGGTTGAAACCTGGTCTGTCGTGATCTACCACGGCGATCATACAGTTTTCACAGCTTTCAGAGCTCTAAAGCTGTTTCAATCCTATCCACAAGCTTCGGCTTGTCGCATCATCCGCTCTACGGTGCAAGCCGAGCTTCCCATAACGTCGACTTAATAAGGCAATTCGTTGCATGTCTAGCGGCCTAATGCGGTCTTCGTATTAACCTCTTGTTTCCGTCGACCCCGAGCCCTCGGCCTTTCTAGACTGCATAGCAGCACAGGAGTCCATCGAGAGGCAAGCCCGAAAGCGTTGGTCACTATCCAAAGGCTAGGGGCCTAACGGTTAGAATAGATAGGTACACACGAGCCTACCGGAGAGACGACACGTCATGTTGCACAATAACTTCCATCCAGCCGTGGTTACATACGTCTACTATGCACTGTAGGCCTATACGAATAGATACGCTGACTATTGCCTATGCCGGCGATTACTGGTCACACTGCGAGTGCAGTGTGACTATATAAAAATTCCATGTCTGCCGTGGGTATGGGAAGTGGGATGGCCAGTAACGATAATCTACGTATGCCTCGCGCAGCTTGCCGTGCGGATTGCAATATTATACTGCCTCACTGCACGCAATCTCTACTACATGGCCGGTGATCGCCCTTCTTGTGAAACTATTGCTTAGTTCCTTTTCGCAAACCGTCTCATTCCCGTCGCCGTTGCTACGCCGCCCGCTCTAACCTCGGGAGCAAGTCGTCACGTTCATTGTAGCATGTTAAGGAACATGCAGGACCGGCATAAGGCGTGATAAGGCGAAACAGACTGTTACACCTTTATCCTAGGCCCGCCATTGCCCTGTGTCGATCGAGCGCCCTGCCTGCTCGATACCTTATTATTAAATTGATAGACGACATGGTATTTTATATGCATCATGCTCTGCACATAGATATAGCGCCTAAACTATATTATATATTAGATAGATTCCTATTTCAATATTCCGTAGGATCGAGATGCCGTGATGCTATTCGTTGCATAAGAATAGAGTCCTAGGCCGGTGGCAGGAAATAACGCCAGAAAGTCAAAGCTCTAGGTTAGGAACCTTTATGTTAACTGGCGGCTCTAGTCTATATGCAACTACCTATCTATGCACTGCATCGCTTGCTTTTTTTCAAGAAGAATCTTCGTGTTCTCGAACATGGAGAACTGCAACGTTGTCCGCCACTGGTGGTCACAACGCCCATCTCCATGACATCTACCTGCCCGTTATTTCCAACGTGGCTACGATACCTTGTCGCATACATACCTAGGCGCACAATGTCTTGGTTTACGGGCACACCATTGTTGAGTTAACACATCAAGCTACAAACGTGGCTTACCGTGCGTATTACAAAGTGGCCTAATAACATGGTAGGGTCTTACATCATCCTCTCATTGGCCTCCCCGCACCAACGCAACGGTTTTAATTTCTTATAGACCTGTGGCTGCATGGCAAAGCTTGGGGAACGTCCTAACGGTTACTAATAGCGCCCACTCATTAAGACTTGGATTGTACAAGGCATATTTCTGATGGGACGTTAACGCCACGCATTACCGTTGCCCGAATCCCTTGCCTCAGCGGCTACCTACTCAGGGCCCGAAAGGGCGGGTGATGGCTTCAGATCCCTAGCAAAAAACATGCCAATCCCGAGATATTAATGTCGGTGCCGAAGATTCTTCCTACCGTCTGAATGGCGCCTAATTTCGGGCTTTGCAATGGGATTGGCCCCAGGAGAAAACTAGCCCATTACCGCCCGGCTGGCACGCAGGAGATCACACGGGAAAGTTCCTCGCGTTGCTCCTCCCATTCCACCGGATAGGAGTCATCTCCAACCCAAAGGTACCGCTAGTAACACGGCACTGTACCCTTCCGAGAAAGGGAGGCCATATCGTATCTAATGTGTCAAGCCGTTGTAAATGTCCGTGAGCAAAGCCCTGTTCCAAGTACGGAATCACGCTGCCGAAGAATGCAGTATGTACCTAAAACACATTAGCCTTCATGCACTGGAAATAGCAAACTATGTATGACAAGTATCCAAGAAGCCTACGAGAGTTGGTCTTGCCACTTTATTTCAATGGCACGATAACAATCCGACTACCCAGGTATAGCCACAGGGAAGTCCGCACAGTGAGAGGCAGACCCGGGTAGCGTGCAAGGAGCATAATACCCTACCACTATGGGCCGTTGCAAGTCTTCAATCGGCGCCTAAAATCTCGAAGGATTGCCATAATCAGGCCATGCTGTGGTGTTGGAAAAGCACCTATAGAAACGGTAAGGAGCTAGCTAACCAACGAAGCGCGGGGGGATTTTTTTTTTTTTTTTCGATTGAGCAACTATCTGCGAGCTGAGTATATGCGACACGGGATCCAGGCCGCCCTGCGTCAATGCCATTCCTACGATGGGTACCCTTATTGGGAAACCCTTGAAGGAACTAGTTCTGAACTGAGTGGGCAGCGTGTGACTTGTGCGCTCCGAACTATGGCAATGCTCGGAGCTGGTTGGCGCAGCGGTCTGCATGAGATAGCGTGGCAGGAACACGGCTTCGCTCTGTCTTCTAAACGGGTAAATGTGCCTGCCTGTCTGTCTGTCTGTCTGTCTGTGATACGCCGGCAACGCGCCCATCGAGAGGGCAGGACCAGCAGCCACCCGAATCGCGATCGGGACTTATCTCACACAGTAGATGAATGGGCTACTCCGCGCTGTCTGTCGATGCCGTTTCCCGGCACCGGCACTGTACGGTAACAAATCGCGTACTCTAGGTACCTAGGTAGGCATGCTAGGTCAGGTCAGGTCAGGTTAGGTATGCTGCACCGCGCGGAGGGGACCTGGCTAACCTAGGCGTTAGCAAGTCAGGCGACCGGTCGCCTATGCACCTTGCCGTGCTGCTTGTCGGGTGTGGCGCGAGCTCGCGTCCGAGCTCGCGTCCGAGATCGCTGGGTCCGGGCGATGGGCGATGGGCGATGGGCGATGGGAGGATGCTACGCTGGTCTTACATACTTGGAGGTCAGGTCATCACTTTGTTGTTGTTGTGTTGCTTTTGACGGGTGGCGTGCATCTAGTCTGGTCATTGCGAATCAATCCTCTTGGGGTAGGTTAGGTAGTGTCGAAGTTATAATACATAGGTAGCTTGGGTGCCGTGCCTAAGGTATAAACTTGGAATGCTATTATTGCCGCCTAGGTAGCTGGGGTTTCTGTTGGAAAGTCGTGGATGTGTAGGTAGGTAGGTAGGTAGGTATGCATACCGAATCGTGCAGCGTCGAACGTTTATGATCGTGTCGGAACCGGAACCGGAACCGGCAGATGTCGGGTTGGAATCGTCGACTCGTCTGCCGACGACGCGTGGATTTGCTGTTGTGGCCTGATGGTTTTTTCCCCCCTTCTTTCCGGCCGATGGTGTTAGGCGTTACTTTGGGAGCTAACCTAGTGATATGGGATGCTCTGAAGTTACATTGAGATAGTTGGATTATCACAACGATCGAAATATTGCCGGTGGGAGGATGCGTTCGTTTTAGTAGGTTTCATCATAGTATAGAATATAGTCCCCGTGCTAACATATTATTTAAGATCAGGCCTCTTGATATTGTGTTTCTGGTTATTATAGCTGTCCTCTTTCTTGGTGGATGCCCAGCTCCTATTGTTTGGAGAGGATATCTCTAAGCCGAGCGTCAAGGTTTCCAGACCACCATCCTTTTCTCTCCTTTTTTTCTCCTTATTTTCTCCCTTAGCAGGAGCTGACTTGTTGAGGTGTTCTAAGGTTTCCTAGTCCATTCAATATGAGGCGAACACGAAAACTTGACTTGGACGGGCTGGGTTGCCCCCATACTGATTGACGTATATTTCATTTGGTTGGGTTATGAAGAGAAGACATGGCTTCTTCGACACATCCTAACTACGTAACATGAGATGCAAGATGTGTATATTAGGTACGACGAGGCAAATCAACTTCTAAGATTCTCTGTCGAATAGACATGTCTACGGCGAAAGTTCTGCCTTTCTCACGGTCGACAACGTTTATAGCAGATCTCACGAATTGTATCCTACCTGGGCTAAAACATATCCAGCCGAAGACTTATAGTTATGCATCTCAAGCAAACTAGGACAATATGTTTCTAGGATTATAAGTTTTGGTGCCCTTCTTCGTACTCTGTAGAAAGAGAGACCTCGTGCCTCTATAGTGAGCTATTATCAAAGCAGAATCTCGGCTTGATATATAAAGAGAAATGCTTCATTATGTAAATAGTAGGATATTTCTCGATGTATTCTGTCTGCGTTCTTGTCTGCTAGAGCCGTCTTTGATATTTCGCTTGGGTTCTACTGCTATCCCCTCGCATCTAGTTGTAATGCGCTTGTGGGCCAGGAGAGGTCTTCACCTTGGGCTCGTATGCCAACATACATAGACGAGACCATAATATGCGAAATGTGTGATATTATATAGTTAATACGCCGATAACCTATTGTATTTCCAGTATGAATTCCCACATGACGTTGAATTAAAGTGCATGTGTGTAGGTATTTGCACACAGAATACTCAGAAAGGTACGTAGGTACCAGGCAGATAGGCTACTAAGGTTCTAATAGAGCCATGACCTAAGACAAGATATGTACATACATACATACATACCTCATATGTACATACATAGTGGTCGTGTAACCTTAGTGCCTACCTAGGTACCTAAGTTTAGGTGGATCTCATGCACGGTGAAATAACTTTTCCATTTCCCGCGGGGGAGCTTCCAAAATTTCTAGGCGATAAACACCTTCAATATCAAGAAGGACAAGCTTCGCGATACGCCACTTTTCACCGGGAATTCTACGTTTTTACTACTGGTGCGAGTCGATATCAAGTGTATTTTACTCTGTTTTAATTTAATAGCACCGAAATCCAAACATCACGCCAGAGCACCTCTTTCAACATGCAGGCTCCCGTTTTGGTTATGAGTGAGCCCCTCCATGAGCTAAGCTTGGGCAAAATGTGGGAAATAAGTACTAACTATTCCCAACCTAGACACCCAAAGTGGTGATAGACAGACTGGACGAAAAGCTCAGATGTCTAACATCGCTGCCGCGAAGACGTATGTTTCCCTTTGCCTTGTTCAAACTTCAAACTTCAAACTTCCGTCGCTAAACCCAGCTCTAGCGTTGCCGATATTATTCGATCATGTCTCGGTCCCAAGGCTATGCTGAAGATGCTGTTAGATCCTATGGGTGGTATCGTCCTCACTAACGATGGCCACGCTATCCTACGAGAAATCGAAGTGTCACATCCCGCTGCGAAGAGCATGATCGAACTTAGCAGAACACAAGACGAGGAAGTTGGCGACGGTACCACGACGGTCATTATCCTGGGTTAGTAATATGATAAGTAGTAGAAAGTATGTTCGTGGGGCTGACTATATATATGCCAGCCGGTGAGATTCTAGCACACGCCCTCCCACAACTAGAGCGAAATATACACCCGGTCGTTATCATTTCCGCCCTCAAACACGCTCTTAAGGATGCGCTAGAGATCATCGACGAGATCTCCTTACCTATCGATGTCAACGACGACAAGGCCATGTTTGGCCTAATCTCTTCTTCTATCGGCACCAAGTTCGTTTCGAGGTGGTCAGATTTGATGTGCGGTTTAGCTCTTAATGCTGTCCGGACAGTCACTTGGGAGGCAGGAAATGGCAAGCAAGAAGTCGATATTAAGCGATATGCCCGCGTGGAGAAGGTTCCAGGTGGAGAGATCGAGGATAGCAGAGTCTTGGACGGTGTGATGCTCAACAAGGATATTACTCACCCCAAGATGCGAAGGAAGATCGAGAACCCCAGAATCCTTCTTCTCGACTGCCCGTTGGAGTACAAGAAGGGTGAATCTCAAACTAATATTGAAATCACGAAAGAGGAGGACTGGAACCGTATTCTACAGATTGAAGAGGAGCAGGTTAAGTCCATGTGCGAGTCTATTCTAGCCTTCAAGCCTGACCTAGTCATTACGGAGAAGGGTGTGTCGGATCTCGCGCAACACTACTTCGTGAAAGCGAATGTCACCGCGTTGCGTAGAGTTCGAAAGACAGACAACAACAGAATAGCTCGCGCAACCGGTGCGACTATCGTGAACAGGGTAGATGATCTCCAGGAGTCGGATATCGGAACCAAGTGTGGACTATTCGAAATCGAGAAGATTGGCGATGAATACTTCACCTTCCTTACCAAGTGCAAATCCCCCAAGGCATGCACAGTTTTACTTCGAGGCCCTTCCAAAGATATCTTGAACGAGATCGAACGAAACCTCCAAGACGCTATGGGAGTAGCTCGGAACGTTATGTTCTACCCCAGACTGTCACCAGGTGGTGGAGCTACGGAGATGGCGGTCTCGGTACGCTTGAACCAACTAGCAAGGAATATCGAAGGCGTACAGCAATGGCCATACAAGGCAGTTGCCGAGGCCCTAGAAGTCATTCCCCGGACGTTAGTGCAGAATGCTGGTGCTAGCCCCGTGAGAGTTCTCACCGAGCTTCGTGCTAAGCAAGCAGAAGGCAAGAGCTCGTGGGGTATTAATGGGGATACGGGATCAATCGTGGACATGCAGGAGTATGGCATCTGGGAGCCTGAGGCTATCAAGCTCCAGAGCATCAAGACCGCCATAGAAGTAAGTTTTACCATGATTATTCCGCTTAAATCCGCTTAGAACGCTTTACTGACTATTATTTTAGGCTGCCTGTCTCTTACTAAGAGTTGACGATATCTGTAGCGCGAAGAAGGCGCAACAAGTGGGAGCACCCGGTCTAGGTGGTGGTGACGATTAAACGGGGGAATAAAATAAAATAATTGATCACGATGTCGAGCAAGCCTACTAGATACGGAATATTGAGAGGACATACCCCTGTACGAACAGCTGGTCTAAAAGTCACGAGATAGATGAATTAGATGGCTCTGCTACCATTATTGGTCTGTTCATATCGCTCGTGAGATATTACCCTATTCGCGGAACCATGAAACTACGTCGGTATTTTGATGTCTTCTCGTGAATGATCACAACCCCCTTCTGACAAGCCGGTGTTTTCTCTTCCAATTTCAAAATTGAATAGGAAAAGGCTTTCGTTAAGCATCGCTGATTTAATAACTACTACGAAGTTGTTGAGGGAGGTGACACCTTGCAAGTCCCATTATCCTAAGAAACTATCCTAACTATCTGCTCTTTTAAACATTGATTGTCTGCTTTGTGACACTATATCAGGTATGTATCTTAAACCTAGACCCAAGACTCTCTTTCTCAACCTCACCTCTATGTCATTGAAGTGTACCTATTATCCGGGAAAGTACATAGATATTCCAGGTTGCTTCTGTTATTAAGAGATACTTCGCAACAGCATCATTATACGATATGTGCTTACTTGGCATACAACTCGTATTTTATAGGGGTTGTTTGATCTCTTGCTCATGGCTTGTATAGGTACTTGATAATTACCTGAAAGTATAATTGAATAGTATATATTCTTCAACGGCAACATTACGAGTCTGACATGTACGTTGTAAGAAGAGTAGTGGTAAGCAATACAAAGTCGTGACTGAGTCATACGTAGTACACAGTTGAATAAGGCGGCTCGTCAAGACCTCCTTTCATCTGGACTCTGTAGTACTAGGTGTGTTTGGAGTCTCCTGTCTTGCGTCATGGCTTTCTCTTGTAATGGGTACTACTAAAGAGTCTAGTTAAAGTATACGAATGCTATTCAATGAAGGAACTTTTGATATTAAATTCGGATTAATTATCAACTCAGTTACATATAACTAGGTAACTTATAAGCGTTAGTTACTAACTGCCAACTAAAGAACTAACTGACTTTGCTACGAATATCAGGCATATAAGGTACCTTAGTAATATATGAATCTAGACTGTCTGTCAGTATTCTGTGATGAACCTCAGGCACATAACATGATAATACATGTAACACAAGTATTTTGGTACATCAATACCAACCTTACGTATAGGTTAGGAAGTCACAACGAAGACAAACCTTATATTCTCTTGCTGCCACGCAACTGCCTAAGTACAACGTGTGTCACGATCTACTCAACGCGTTGCTTAGTCCACATTGTTACTACCCTGCTTATTAACTCATTACCTTACAACTTTAGACTTTGTATTAAGCGGTCGTTCTTTCCCAAACCTCCTTCCAAATAATACATAAAGCCAACTCTCCCACCACCAATTCAACCTTTTTTTCTTCCTCTCTCAACCCTCGCACAATTTAGTTTTTATCTTCAACCTTCGTCAACAAAAGAGACAGACACCTTACTTAAACAAGATCATCAACCTTCTCGCCTCCAGGCAACTCTTTTCACAAACATTACGCTTCTCTTAAGCCATTTTAAACCCACTATTAAATTCACTATGCCTCCTCTCACTAGAAAACGCAAGGCTAAACTAGAAGCCGCAGCACAACAGGTTCCAATACAGACACAACCGGAGACCAATCAGTCCGTCGAAGAACCTTCTTCAAAACGTCAGAAACTAACGGATTCGTTCAAGAGGACCGATCCCTTCCGCCCGCATTCTCCCCCTCCTAAGACTGTGATTCACCGTCGCAGCTTGGCAACCAAGTTAAAACAACCGTTGCCAGTAGTATTCTTTACTATACCGGCAACCAACCCTTCTAACCAGGTTTCTGCTAAGGGTCGAAGTAGCAACGACTTGAACACAATAATGCTAACTAAGTCTCTATTTGAGCATGCAGAGTAAGTTGTCACCCATGATTATTTTCTTTCCTTCCCCACTACTATATTCAGACCAGTTGCCGAGCACCAAGCAACTACCTCACCGCCTTAGGTACCTATCTACTACTTACTCTATGACCATTACTTTCAGTTCACCCCCCCCCTTACACCAAAATCACTTTCTATTCACTTGGTCCACAACAATCCCCATTTCGCGCTTCGCCCTGCAACACAATATCCCCCAATAAGGATCGAAGCTCACGAATAAAAAACCATATGGCTGCGTAGCTAACAAAGTGGAAATAGCAAATATGGTGCTGCTGCATTGCCAACCAGTGAGGCTCTTGATGCCTGGTTAGAGGAAAATAAAGACATCTTCATCCAGGCTCGAAAAGAGGGATATCATCAGCAAGTCACTTCAGCACAGTCAGCACAAAATTCACCTGGCGCTGAGACTCACCCTGGGGTCTTCCTTGACCTAACAACCCCCCAACATAACCTTGCAGCCAGACATCATGCCCCCCAACAGCACGCCGTCCTTGCTACCAACCGAATGATTATCTACAGGGCAATCCGCACCGCTCGCCACACTGCGGCTCATATCTTGAGTCAAGCTGCTGCAATCATTGAGGGCCCAGAGGTAGAGCTAGGCATTATGCACGAGGGAGGGCTGCAGAGGCCTGCAGAGGCCTGCAGAGGCGATAACAGCCCATGGGGGAGAGAAGAAGAGAGAAGAGGACGACGCCCGAGAAAAGGAAATGCCCGCAGTCCAAACTAAAACAGAGCCTATCCGGGTGAGACCAGTGGCGCCGCCGTTAGACACGCGCTTCTTCCATCCAAATGGCCAGTTGCAGTCCGTGTATCGGTATCTAACAGCGCAAATTCCACTACCAAGGCAATGGGTGCGATGGGCTATTAACAATGGGATCAACAAAGTGCCAGGGCGCGGAGATATCCGCGAGCCCGGGGTATATGTCGCAGAGGACACATTCGACTACGACGCCCTGTTTGAAGCGGTTCACCGTGGTTGTTTTCGGACTGGTCGGTTCGAGATCGATGGGTTCAACGAGTACTGGCCTATGGTACGAGGACATAGAGACAGCACGACGGTAGATTTAGCATTGCATCGCCTCCCGGCTCACCTATCGTCGCTCGAGCGCACAGATCTTGATGAGCAAGAAGTAGAGAAGTCAAATACACCAACGCCAGAGCCCGCTCCTGCATTAGAGACAGGAACGGCACCAACTCTCCATGACGAGAAGTGATAAGAACGGGTGAAAAGGTCAACTAAATATATAGACGAACTCGTTCCAAACCCTAAACACTCCTACCGATACTAATCTATATTTATACATTCATCGCCATAACAGACGATAATGGCAGTTTACTTATCCAACCTCAACACGCAGTGGCATTAACCGCAATGCCGCTGCAGGAGACACAGGTCATCTTCACCACCCCGGCCGCCGGCCAGGAGACCTTTTTCAGAAACGAGTTCCAGACCACGTTGGTCATCATGGACGAGAACACGCGCCTGAGAGAGCTTACTACTATTATGTGCATTTATTCTTTCGTATAGCCAAGCTATTCATGTTTCTCGGAGATCCTCGACAGCTACCGCTATTCATCAGTAACAACAACAGTGGATATATAACGGCGCCTTTCGACTTGCAGACTAGCATCATTATTTCCCGTAGCCGCAAACCTCATTGGACCCGGGGTAGCTTGGTTCGCGGCTTCGTTTTCCCTGAGTGTATGAACGGGCCGGCCGAAATCGAATTCGTCCGGAGTTTTATCTGAGAAAATATTTTTATCAGCGTCGGAGACTGCAATTACGCTCCAACTATATGTTGGAAGAACTGGCTGCTTAACGAGTTAGCCTACCCGATGATGCTTGCGCCACGCGGTCTGGAAATGGTCGAATTGGATTCTGGCTTAAAGCATGCCATTTGTCGTACATCGGTGCGTATCCTTTCCAATACATCAAGTTCATCATGATTACGGCTCCCAACATTTGGTAGCTTCACTCCTGCCAGAGGCCTTCGGGCCACCAATACAATTCTTACTATATACTCCTTTAAAAGAATAACTAGCGCATCGTCTTTATTTTTTCTCACGTCTGCCCGCCTAACAGAAGAGCCACAAGAAGCTCTAGGAAGCACGCTACCGATGATGATGAGTCGGGACTTTCCGACCTAGCCCACTGAGAGTCCAACTAGTAGCTTTGACAGAATCTGGAAAAGAGATTAAGAAGCTGAAAGATCAGCACGCCCCGGCCTCAACTAAACAAGAAGAAAAAGTAACGGTTGAAACAACTACCATTGTTATTTTGAAAAATTAATTGGTGCCGTGAAATACTTACCACATTGCCTTAATACACATTGGAGATCACCACCACATCGAATTAGCTGAGACGACGCATTGGCCGAGACGACGCTATCTGATCGACATATTATATTCATTGAATCCAACGACACCCCGGAATCAAACGAGTGGCTTGATCACATGTCATCGCATGTGAAAGTTACGATTGAGTTGAAGATTCAACTCACACCTACCCCAAGCACCTTCTACTCACGGCAAAGTAAGAACGTACAGAGCCGAAGCAGTCAAGATATTCTTAAGCTTCCTTGCCAATACGGATACAGTTATAATAACAGAGAAACCTGCTATAAGGCAGCTTGTAAATAACAAAAATACATTAACAATGAAAACAACGTTTGACTCAATCAACTTACTTTTAATAAAACGATCTACAGTGACGAGAAGCCTGCTAATAACTGACTTACACGTTTTTCATTTTGATAATGTTCTTTGTAGCTGATTGTAACTAATGTATACACGAATAGACTCACAACGCGGTTGTCATAACTCTTATGTGTATCGTAACGTTTTGATAGGAGAAGTCAACCAAACTAGCTAAGGTTAGGTTTTGGATATATGCGCTTTTTTATTGAATGTCAAAGTTATTGGTATGGTGGGCTGTTTAATTTGACATAAGTAGGATATAGTCGTTGTGATGATATAGTCCTTGAAAAGGGGCTCGTGGCTGAAAAGGGGCTGCTAGAAGGCTAGGTTAGTACATAATATTATTTAAAAGATAGGATAGCCGAGTAGTAAGTAAACTGGCGAACCTTCACTGTAAAGCGTATTGATATTGGCATAGTGTATAGTTGATAGTTTATAATATTAGGAGGTACGTAAATTATTCATAATTGGATAATATAATTAATCACTTTACTTTCAGTATAGACAAGAATAACAAATGCGCTGACACAGACCCAAGAATACCTTCTACCACCCCAATCCAACTAACTACATACCTAAATCATCTTGCTGTTTAAACCCAAGCCCCCCAACCCCCAACCCCCAACCCCCTAAACCCGCCTCCCCTGCCCCCTCCGCCCGCCCACGTCCCGCCCAGTCCCAGGCCCGACGCCAAACCAGATCTCCCTAGACCCTCTGGCGCCTTCCCACAGGGGCGGTGCGGATACACGCGGCTGAGAGGTGTTGTTTTGTCTATTGCTGTTTCTGCTGGTGGTGGTGGTGGTGGTGTTGGGGCCCCCCGTTCCGCGACGAGGAGGTTTCTGCGGGAGGGGCGGAGAAGAAGAAGAAGAAGAGGGGAGGGGAGGGGTAGGGGCTTGGGCTTGGGCTTGGGCTTTACGGCGCAGGGCTCTCTGGCGCGATTGCTGCGCTGCGATGTATGAGGGCGCTAGGTGTGCTACGTGGCTGATGTGGAAGGGTTTTGGACTGGGGGGTTTAGATGGTGGAGGTGGAGGTAGTGGTGGAGGTAGTGGTGTTGATGCGGCCGGCGCATCGGCATTGTCGTCGTTGCTAGGCGCGACGTCTTCCGTGTCTTCTCCCCTGAGACGCTGTAGTCTTTCCTCGAGGAGTCTGGCCTGTTGCTCCCCGAGGAGTTCTACGAGGAGACTCTCTGGGATCTGGTGCGTGGTGTTATCACTGTTATTGTTGTTGTTGTTGTTGTTGTTGTTGTTGTTGGCCTCCTCCTGGTGCTCTTGGGCTTGGTCGTTAGCGGGAGTGGCTTCTCCGAGTTTGGCTAGTTCGCCGCTCAGGTTAGGGTACTGGACCGGCTCGCTCTCGCCAACTTGCTGCTGCTGCTGCTGCTCGGCTTGGTCGATTTCCGCCTCCAAGGTATCCAGTTGCTTCCCCTCCACTCCCGAGGCCGGATACACCATGGCGCCGGCACGCCCGAGGAAATCGCCTACCCGTTTACGCACGCGGTATACCCGATTCCGCCACTGGCTCATCGGCCCTAGAACATCCCTACCGTGTTGTACATCCCGCTCGTCCTGCGCCCCAGGCGAAACCGCTCCATTATCAAGATCAAGCAGACGATCCAGCGTGTTCCGCCTCTGCTTCTGTCTTACCTCCTCCGTGCTCCCCGCCTTCGGTCTCTGTACACTCGGCCTATGGCGATGAACCGCGCCCGATCGCTTAACCTGGACAAAGCTATCTCTATGCTTCTCCAGCCACGAAATAGATGATTCCTCCGCCGGTGGCACATCTGATATGTTGTCGCTGTCCTGTGGATTCTTGAGCTGACTAGCAGCTATATTGAAATTGGTTACATGTGGAGTTCCGGATTGTATGCCATTCTGCCCCGTCGCTGATTTCTCCATCGATGTAGGGTTTAAATGCTCTGTCCAGATGGTGGGTTTGGCACCTGTGAAACTATGATGCGTCCATGGTTGGCTGTACAGCTTGTTATGTAAAAAGTGCCACCACTGCTCAGCCATGATGAAATATATAAGAGTTAGAGAAGCGAAATGTCAAATTTCGATCGTAGAATATTTGGTAGAATATTCGAATAGGAGTCCTGGTAGAAACCAGGGGCTTCTACAAGAAGTGAGTTAGGGGTCTTAAAAAGTCTAGGAGCTATGGATTGCATGAGAAGGCATTCAGATTCATAGCTTTGTTCTTTGCACCCCGGCGCTTGTGGACATGAATAACGACAAAGGAGACATGTCAATGACTGCAAGTTACTTAGCCTTTAACTACGACAATGGCCATATGTAGTGCTAAAAGGATAATAGCACCTTTCTTTCAAGATGATAGGGGTCCATAAAGAATAAAGACATTGTAGACGCTTCATTGGACCATTCTATTGGATATATGCGCTAGTCATAAAGGGTATCACCAATATGAAAAATGAGTAAACACATACTATGAAACCGATCAAAGCCTCCTTCAAAGCCTAGTATACGCTTCCTCGAATACTCTTGTCCTCTTGCTCAGCCTTATCTAGGTCCTCAGCCTCGTCGCCGCCGTCCGATCCTTGGTCGGAGTTGTTAGGCGCATCGCCAAGCTTATTTGCGTGCGCGTGACGGGTAGTCGAGGGCTCTCTGCCATTAGTTGCTAGCCCGCTCCTCTCGCCGTTCCTAACACGCGCGGCCTTGGCGGCGAGACGTTCGCGAGCGTCGTTCTCTGAAACTTCCTCCTCGCTAGCATGTCCCGAGTAAGTACCTCCGAAGTCGCGACCGAGGTGAAGAAATGTTGACTTCTGAGGAGTTTTGAGCGCGTTGCGCAGCCGATCATCTATCGTTATGAATGACGGCGTTCCGTCTGGCGAGGAAACAATCTCTTCTTGAGCCTTAGTAACGTCGATATGCGGAAGGGCTCTACTGCGAGGATCATCCGAGTCATCATCGGAATTGTTTGGGCCTTGAATTCTCTTAGCTGGGCTTCTTCGGCTGGCTATAGTGCCATTAACCTCAGGAACAGTATGGGTGAGAGCATGCTTAGCACTGTTTTCGTCGTGTTGCCGTAGCTCAGCTAAATCACCGCGTATCTTAAAACTCTTGCCGTGATCACAACCTTGAGGACAACCACCCCACTTGCGTGGCAGAGTAGGGGCGTGGCTATGTTTCTCAGCCTTGCCAGGTTCCTTATCCTCCTTTGCCTTGATGGCAGCCCGTTCTCGTCGTAGTTCAGACCACGTCCGGAGTTTGTTCTGGAGGTCATATTTGCCACTGTCTACCTGTTTCTTCATGATGAGAAACTCGCAGTGGTTCACGTTGCGCAGGTCTTCAAAATACTCGACGGAGAAATGATACCACTTCATCAAAAAAACGCGAGACATGAGACCGTGGGTGACTAATTTCAAGGTTAGCGGCGAGAACATTTATTAATATCATAGGGAAATGGTTGCGTACCTAGGACGCAGACGCTGGCGAAGTCGTCCTCTCCGAACTGACGCCACAAGCTCTCGTTGAAACCTGAGACACGATCATAAGCATCGGCAGCGCTCTCGCCGTTGGGAATACGGTAGAAGAAATGGCCGTAATCGGCACGCTCTTGCCACATGCGTTCCATCTCGGCACTGCACGGCTGGAAGTTTCCAAAGTCCTGCTCGCGCAACCGTGGCTCCTCGTATACCTTCATGTTGCTCCTCTTAAAAGGCGAGGGGTCGGGATCGTCTGACGTTAGGGTTTCTAAAATACCCTCGGTAGTCTCTCTCGTCCGTCGGTACGGAGAGGTATAGAACTGGAGGGTGTCGTCTGGGCGGAGTAGGGCTCGTAATCGACGACCGGCGTCGCGGGCTTGCTGCCATCCGTCTTGGGTCAACTTGACTCTATGATCGGGGATGGTCTGGTGGATCTCGCGGTTTTCTATAGCTGTCAGTATTGAGTTTGGCAAGTATATAATAGTTGGGCGGAAGTGGCCTACTGTTGCCCTCAGACTGAGCATGTCTGATTAATATAATGAGTCTTGGGCGACCCATGATTGCTGCTGATATTGGATCCTAGAGAGAGATATATATATATATATAGCTTCCTACGACGGTGCTTTCCTCCGAAGATATCAAGGTAGATGTCGATTTGGTCGGAAGAGTCGACGGGGTTTCGTTCAGAAAGGCTAGGTTAGATATATATTTCTAGAGTTTTTGTGGCAAGTCACTCTATCGAGCGAACAGCGGGACAAATTTGATTCTTGGACTAAGTCAAATGGTTTGAAATCATGGGATAATATACACTATCGTATTTTTAGTTATTTCTCTCGCTCTCTTTGCAGCATCAGGCTGAGTTGAGGGACTGAGATATAAAATGATAGGTAGCTGGTTGTAGACGTGGTTGTATGTTATATGTGGTTGTTGTACCAGATACTTTAAGAGCGGTATGTAAGGTTGAATGTATAATAATATAACCTAGATTTTAGATTTTATAAATGATAAATTAGATTTTACCGGCTTAAGAAGGGTCGAAGTACAAGGGAGCCAAGAATGCAAGTAGGGCCTTGACGCTTGCCTGCTTGTTTGACTCTGCACTATGTCAGGTAGGAACCGTGCATGGGTTTTGGTTGGTTGGAGGGGAAGAAAGCCTTTGGAACAAGCTGTCGGGACTCCCCTGTAAGCTGGAAGTACAATTTGTTGATTGGCCAGAAGTTTAACCCCTCCATCTGACCGACCAATGAACCCGATTTCGGCTCCAGTATTGGGTTGCGCCTGAGGTATATACATATGTACATAGTACCTTTAGCACGATGATGCAGGGGCCATCTGTAAAAGGTACATCTGTGGAAGGTACACCCGGTTGGGGTCACTTCCAGCTGCTGGTGCCGGGCTGGCGTGGTATTACCATCCCAAGTAATACATACATGGTACCTAACCTAGTAGTTCCACTCTTTTTTTATGATTGCCTTGTAGCCTCATCGGCATCTTCCATCATAGGGTAAGCATCATCAAAATCACCTGTTACAATTTCAGCCTCGTGGTAAAACACGCTATCACAGCCGTTTTTCATATCAATCTACTACATCGGTGCCATTCCTTCTCGATCTAATCTGCCTCTTACATACTTGCCGACGCACTTAACATCTCCTATTTCTCACCATTGCCAGAAAAGGCGTCCGTGTCACGCCACCAACATACGACGCCGCTCCCCGAATCACCAGAGCTTACCTCCCCGTCGGAACCAACGACGGCAGAAGATAGGGAAGGAGGAGGGTCAGCGCCAATCGAACACGTCGCTAGTCAGCTAGCTAGGAACAAGCCAGATCGCCCTGGCCTAGACTGATAGCCAAAAACAACCAGCAACCGGACCCGCGCGAAAAAGAGAAAGAAAAAGGAAAGGCCAAAATGTCAGGCGAGGGCCCCGAAAGCATCCCGACATCCGCGGACCCGCGCTCCAAGCGTCCCACCAAGAAGCGCGCTCTAACGCCCGTCTCAGCCCAAGCCCACGTCGTCGAAGCGCTCTTCTCCAAGCCCGACCAAGAGATCCGCATCCCCGACGCGTCCGCGGCGTCGCGCAGGCGAGACCTGCCGCCGCCGCCCGAGATCGTGACCAACGTGCAGGGATCCAGCGCGGGAGCCGGCTCCGGCGAGTTCCACGTGTACAAGGCGAGCCGCCGCCGCGAGTACGAGCGCCTGCGCCGCATGGACGAGGAGGTGTCGCAGGAGAAGGCCAAGGAGGAGTTCGAGAAGAGCCGCGAGCAGAGGGAGAAGCGCGACGACGAGAAGACGAGGCGGAATAGGGAGAAGCGCGAGAAAGCTAAGGCGAGGAAGGCTAAGGCTAAGAATAGTGGTGGTAGTGATGGTGGTGGTGGTGGTGGTGGTGCGGAAAAGAGAGATGGCGATAATAAGCCTGTGGCTACCGCTGCTGCGCCGTCATCAAAAGGTGTCAAGGCTAGGGCTGACGCGAAAAAGGATGATGCAGTAGAGACGGAGAAGAAGACGTGTGGTGAGACTCCCGCGAAAGGGGATGACGATGCGCCTGTAGAAGAGCCAAAGGGCATCGTTATCGAGGAAGATTGAGGAGCAAGGTGTGAAGGATTGGAATTAATTACCTATATATAGATACCCAACCAACCAATACTCTCAAGTGAGAAAGAAGGTAGTTAAAGAGTTTCGAGCACATGCTTAACTTGGAGGAAATATATGCGTGGCTTCAACAACTAGCATCACACGACCTGCGCATACCAGTATAACTGTATTCTAGTTCTAGTATTGTACCATCACATGTAATGAGCAAAAATAAAAATTAAGATAATAATTTCCCGGTATCATGATTGGTATCGAATTGATAACTATGCCCACACACAATTGAAACTAAGTGATATCGCTCTCATCAGGCTTTCCCTACCCATAAATAAATAAAAGACATGCAAATCCTGAACTCCTTTATCGGATGAACATCTCGTCGAGAAGAACGAGCAGCCGGGAAGTCTCCCCTTCTGCCGGCCATTTCTCAAAAGCCATTTCTAGCTAAACCAATAAACCGCTTTTTCCTCCTCTATCAAACATAGGTACCGTTGTAAAGCCGTTAAGTCATGAATGATGAATGCTACCGGACGGGTTTGGCCGTCTCGACTGATGGCCGGCCTGCGTTTGTACAAATTCCTCCAAGTAGAGCGTCGCAGATCCCGTAACCGTATGTGAACCTTGGGTCTTGGCCAATGCTCTACCCTATCCTAGTGGTACACGCCCCGTTCAGCAGAAAATACAAATATTTTTAAATCTCCAACCTCGACCACCTGGCAATGTAATCGTGGTATACAACGCTGTCCTTTTTTAAAAACTCTATCTCCTGGGAACGCCATGTAGATGCATCCACCATGTCTTGAAAGCAGCCATTGCTAATTGCTAAGGACCAACTGTCCGCCGACAGCAGCGCGTCAGAAGAATTTCGACATAGCCGTGCTAAGGTCAACGAAGTCGACCGGTTTTGTCACATAATCGCTGAAGCCAGCCGCTGCGCACTTCTCTTGTACGTCCGACATAACATTCGCCGACAGCGCGATGATAGGTAACTTCCGATAGTTGGTCTGCGCCTCCCACTGTCGAATCTCCCGGCAGGCCTGGTAGCCATCTTTACGTGGCATATGAAGATCGCACTGTCACACAATAGTCAGCTTGCTGTCACATCCAACTGGTATCATGCATGTTAAAACTTACCAATATTAGAGAGTAGTGATTTGGCGAGTGTGCGAACACCTTCTCGGTACACTCAACGCCGTCCGCGGCAATTTCCGCCTCGATGCCCACTTTGTTGAGATATCTGACCAGTACTTTTTGGTTGACCGGGTTGTCTTCGACAAGAAGCACCTTGTACCCCTTATTACCAATCCGCTTCTCCACGTCCAAATAGCTTTGCTTCTGATTCTCCACCATCTGTGCAGCGCTGGAACGGTTCAAATCCACACTCAGGTCCCGCTCTCTCCCTGGGTCGAAAATTACCGCAAACCGGGATGGCTTCACGGGTTTATATACAAATATCATTCGTTTTTCTTCCAAAAGCTTCTGGTGCTCAGGATCTGATGCTTGCCTGAGAACTGCCTGTCTCTGAACAGAGTCCGTCAATACCAGGACCGATGTCTTACCGCCAGAGCTTGCGATTATTTTATCAATAACTCCTATAATCTCTTCAGCTGAGGGTAGATTAATAACAACATGAGTAAAGGTGACAGATTCGTGTCCGCCGATCACCTCTTCAGCTTCTGCCACGCTTGCCATTGCCGTTATTTGGTGTGGAACGTCTTTTGGCAACGTCATCTCGATGTGATTCGTCGTAGCTTCCCTGCTATATTTTTGAGGGCAGATGATGAGGATCGAATACATTGGCGGGCGGAATTGTACCAACCCTATGGGGAATTTAGACCCATCCGGAGTAGGTACCATTTGGGGGGACATCTTTCTTAAAGGCATCTCTAATTTCATCTGAGAAAGATCTTGTCCACTGGCTTTTGCGGCTTCGCTGAAGTGCGTGAGACCAACATTAAGCGACGAAATCGATGATCTTGTAGTAGTAAGACTACGAACGGAGCGAACAGAAGGATCCGAGCTGGCAGATGACTCGGGGGCAGCGGGCGATGTAATATCGGCATCTGAGCTGGGACTAGCAGTCGGAGCGGACTCCAACGTTTTCTGTAATAGAAGAGGCTTAATCAAATGCGGTGGCTTCTCTTCTGCCGGAGATCGTATAGACGCAGTCATTGGCGGGGTACTATCCACGTGAGGGTGGTCATCGGCGCTTGGTAAACCAAACTTGGCGGTGAATGTGAACGTCGAACCCTGCCCGGGTACAGCACTGCCGTCCATTTTCCCTCCGTGGAGCTCTACAAGCTGTCTTGAAATGACGAGGCCCAGTCCACTACCGCCATGTTGTCGGGTGCTGCTTCCGTCAATTTGACTAAAGGGTTTAAATATAAGTTCGGCTTCTTCTTTGGAAAAGCCTCGGCCAGTGTCGATGATCGAGAACTCAAGCATCATCTCGTTCTCGGCAAGATCGTCCGCGCTGTTGGAGTAGACCCTACACCGGCTGAAGACCTCCCCGACGCTGGTGAACTTGATAGCGTTACCTATGACATTAAGAAGCACTTGCCGAACTCGAACCCTATCGCCCTTAACCCAAGAAGGTACATTTTCCTCTACGATATAGTTAAGCTCGAGCCGCTTCGCGATCGCCATTGTCGACACCAGTTCGTTGACATCCTCAATGAGGGATCTAGTATGGAACCATTCGAAATTCAGCTTCATCATGCCGGCATCGACCTTAGACAAGTCCAGTATGTCGTTTATAATCATGAGAAGACTGTTGGCGCTTGTCTGGATCGTATTTGTATAGTCTCTCTGCTCTTCGTTAAGCGTTGTGTCCTGTAGAAAGCTCACCATTCCAGAGATACCAATGAGCGGCGTGCGAATCTCATGGGACATATTGCTGAGGAATCTGCCCTTAGATTCCATGGCCTCCTTTAACTTCTCCTCCAACAGCTTGTGATCGTTAATATCGGTCGCCGAGCCGAAGTAGGAACTTGCGGCACTGCCGAAACCAACGTCGTCGATTTCCACACATCTAATCAAATGCCATCGGTATTCACCAGACTTGGATCTAAGCCGCACTTCGGTCGTGTAAGAAAGCCGCCCGTTGCTATCTGTCGCGACTTTGAGAATTCCTTGTTTAAAAAGATCCCCTAGATCTGCTGTGACAAATTCACGAGCCGAGCTGAAACTGTTTTTTCGAGATGGACCCAAGCTGCCCATTGGTACACCTGTGGGTACCGGGGTGTGCTCCGTCGACGTAGGGTCTCGAGAAAGTGGATCGGGCGTACTCTCTCTAACGGAGAACTCCGCTGTTGAGCGTTCTATCGGTAGTCGACACTTCGCCAAATCGTCCGGATGTACAAAATCTATGAATCCTAATCCTAACGCATCCTCCTCGCTCTGGCCGGTGTAAGATAGCCATTGTTCGTTCGCGAATGTGATCCCGTCATTTTCGGTTGCGGTAAATATTATCTGCGGAATCAAGTTTGCTAAAAGACGGTGTTTCGCTTCCGAGACTTCAATCTCCTGTTGACGCAATGCCATTAGTTCGGCAACTTTCTGATCATGGATATCCATGTAGGAGCCGATGAATTGTACTATAACCCCTCGCCTATCACGAGAGGCCACCGCACGAGCTTGGTGCCATCGATACGCACCGTCAAAGCGACGGAGACGGACAGTATGGGCGAATTGGTCGCCCGACCGAAGGGAATGTGTCCACGCACGCATGTATTCCTCACGATCCTCCGGGTGTAAACTCCCCCAAGGATCCGCAACCAAGTCTGCAAGAGTCTGGCCTCTATAAGTTAAATATCTACTATTAACCCAAACAATCTCCCCGTGCACCGGCAATGCAACAAATACGTGCACCGGTAATAAGTCCAGCATAAGTCCTTTCAGTCGGTCCGAAGGCGGGAGCATAGTTACATGCGGCACAGACGCGGACGCAGATCGAATCGGCGTTGGGCACTGTGACGTGGGTTTCGTGAGCAGAGATGTGCTGGGCGGTAAGGACTGAAAAGTTGCCGAGAAGTCGCCGCCGTACGAGTGTAGCATGGTATGCTTATGACCGCCAGATGATATGCTCTGACCAGACAAGCGCTTCCGACTGTCGTCAATATCCGACCGTAATTGCTGACTTTCAGTACCAATATTAACATCGGAAAAGTCCTTCGATGTGGGCCTTGGCTTTGATATTTGATTGATCACCACCTCATCGAAAGGATCAACATTACGGGATATAATATCCGGGTCTTCGGCTTCATTTTCCATTGAGCTCAGGTCTTGCTGGTGTTGAAGAAGACTTCCTGATCGTCTGAGCTGCTTACCAAAGGCAAGGCCACCTTCCTTATTACCTACTCGAGTAATACGCTGATTTAACGATCCTGAAGTTGGTAGCTCTGCTGGAGTCCCTCCGTTCCTAGGAACCGAACTGAAATAGCTGTCACCTCCCGGTTGGCCGGGGCTGGTACCGGCAGTTCGCCTCTCAACAACTAGTCCAAAAGAGCTAGAGTCCCAGAGCGGAGTTCCACTAGGTGAAGCGTTGATACTTCTTGATGGACCAGAGTATTCGCTAGGGCTAGTAAGGCTTCCAGTAAATGACCGCTGAGACACATCTTCAGGCGTTGCAGCATTAAAATGAGCGAGCATAGTAGGGTCCGTTACTGGTCGTCCGTCAGGGCCAATGGCACCAAAGCCACTAGTAGAGGGTCGTTTCCGATGAAGGCCCATTACTTCTGTCTCGAGAGTTGAATAATGTCGACAAAGGGAGAAAGTTGCTGCTAAATGAGGAGCCAGATGTTCAAGAGAGTGGCGCAAGTTGGATGGATAAGGTATAATAGGGGTTAAGATTGACAATATCGCAATAGGCAAATGTTTATTCTTCTTGGCTAATTCCTCGGTAGATGGGCGCTCATGTAACATAGCAGAATTTACACTCGGTTCGGTATGGCCCCGTTGAGAAGCCTTCTGTTCTAACGCAGAGGGGTCTAACTTGAATTTTTGAGGAGGTTTGGAAAGGAGGATATGGTTTAGTGGGACATGGAGAACAGTCCAAGAGTTATCGATGCCGATAGTTTCGGGGGGTTGTGTCGATGAATAGTCCTGTGGACTCGGTCCAGGGTTGAACGACTCTTCATCAACTACAGCATCTGTGAAAAAGGGATTTTCCGAGGGATCGGCTCGGACGGCGGGTGAGGGTGCTGGGGATTGCGACCATGGCGACGGAGGTGCTT